CTCTATCATCTATCTATCTATCTATCTATCTATCTATCATCTATCTATCTTATGTGTCTGTCTTTCTGTCTGTCTTTCTATCTATCTATCAATCATATGTCTGTCTGTCTATCTATGTTATGTCTGTCTGTGTCTGTCTGTCTCTCTCTCTCTATCATCTATCTATCTATCTATCTATCTATCTATCATCTATCTATCTTATGTGTCTGTCTTTCTGTCTGTCTTTCTATCTATCTATCAATCATATGTCTGTCTGTCTATCTATCTATCTAATATGTCTGTCTGTCTCTCTATCTTATATGTCTGTCTCTGTCTGTCTATCTATCTCTCTATCTATCTATCATCTATCTATCTTATATGTCTGTCTATTTGTCTGTCTGTCTGTCTGCCTACCTACCTACCTACCTACCTATGTCTGTCTGTCTATTTTTACACATTTTTCTTATATCCTTCTATGTACATATATTTCTCTTATACTTCTTATTCAGTACTATTTTATATACACTCCACCTTACATTTCCCCCCTCTTGTTAATTCTGCAGTTTTATGATATTTTCTAATTTCTTAATCTTCTCCCCACTCCCCTTTATTGTTTTCTTTCCTCCAGCCATTTGTACCATAAATTCCATACTGAGTAATACTCAAGATTCTTCTTTGCCTTCTGGTTTTCTATCCTGGGCATCCCTCGATGAAAATTAACAAATGACCCAAGTATCAACAAAATCATCAATCTACATTTGAAGGGGAGAGGTGGACCGATTTCCCTACAGCATAACCTTAAAGCAATGTGAGAGAAAATTCTTTCCTTAACATTAGGAAGGGTGTTTGTTTTTGGTTTTTTTTAAATGATTTAAAATTCTTGACACTTCCCAGAAGCCTGACACAGCATCTTAATACCTGGACAGATTTAACAGGAAAACTACAGAACAGGTGGCAGGACAGATGGAATCATAAACATTTCTTAAATATTACTGCTAAGAGAATAGTACCAGTCTGGCTTTTGAAGAAAAACCACAAATTGGCAGTTTCTGAGTCTTTACTGAAGCCAAGATGTTCATACAAGAACACTTACTTTGACACATCATGTCAGTTTATTGAAGATATTCATTTTTAAAAGTCCCAGCACCAGTTCTATTCAAGATCTCGGATCACCTTTCTGCATAATTGAGTTTATTTTCAGAACTCTCCAGTTACTGTCCCTAGCCAGTGGTGGGCTTCAAATAATTCAACAACCAGTTCTCTGCCCTAATGACCATCTAGGTAGGTGGGGCTCGGTGGTCATGTGACTGTGTGGGCGTGGCCAACTCAACGTCACTCACGTCGATGGGTGCTTTGCTTTAACTGTTACAATGTAACAGGGGGTTAACCGGAGAGGCAGTTTCTGTAAGCAGGGCAATAAAGATTAGACTAGAAACCACACCAGAATGTTTCCTTCCTGCCTTCCTTACAGGATTAGCCTGTAAATTGAAAAAAAGCCTCTAAGTGGAAAAAAACCAAAATAAGATTTCTTCCAACAGCCGAACTGCTTAGAAAGTTAAAAACTGGTTCTCCTGATTAGGTGCAAACTGGCTTAATCCCACCACTGTCCCTAGCTGAATTTACCGTAATCTTCAAGCAGTTGTTTCTGGAATTGGGACAAAGTCAGCCTGTCTTGGGGTGCGCTAGAACTGTTCTCGTCAAAGCATACTTGATTCAGCTAGAAAAAGAGGTCATCCTTGACTGATGACCACATTTTAGCTCAGAGCTTCTGTTTCTAAGCCAAACATTTCTGAAGTGATTTTTTTTGCCCCACTTTACAACCTTTTTTGCCACGGTTGTTAAGTGAATCACTGCAGTTGTTAAGTTAGTAACTCGGTTGTTAAGGGAATGTGGCTTCCCCCTTCACTTTGCTTGTCAGAAAGTCGCAAAAGGAGACCATCTGACCCCGGGATACCGCAACCGTCATAAATACAGACCAGTTGCCAAGCATCCGAATTTTGATCACGTGACCAGGGAGATGCTGCAACGGTCGTAAGTATCCCTAGCTGAACTTACCGTAATCTTCAAGCAGTTGTTTCTGGAATTGGGACAAAGTCAGCCTGTCTTGGGGTGCGCTAGAACTGTTCTCGTCAAAGCATACTTGATTCAGCTAGAAAAAGATAGAAAAAGTAACTTGGGCATCTCTCTTTCCTTTCCCATGCATGCAATACATTTTTTCAAAAGTGAAATGGGCCTATGGAAAGCTACAACACTGGATGGAGAGTACCAGTTGGAGGAGCTGGCAGCAAGGTCTGGCAAAAACTGGGAAGTATGGTAATCATGGAATAGACTTCACGTGGGTACAACAAGATCCAGAGGCACTCTGAAGAAATGGGGCTATCCAGTGGCTTCTGCCCTTTGCGATTGTGGTGACATGCAGAAAACAACACATATGTGTATCTCTGTCCTTTGTGCTCTGATCAGTGTCACACCTCAGGACTCTTTGGGAGTGTGACAGAATGCAATTAATGTTGCTAGTTTCTGGCCAAGTTTCTGTTTAACTTTTAACATTTTTTGATCTTGTAGTTTACATTTGTGTGAAGAGAGATTTCTTAAAACAAACCAATGATGACTTAGAAGGATAAAATTCTAGTTGCTGATGAAAGTAACTAGAATGATTCCAGTGTATTCGGTACCTGGTGCTCCGGGTAGGATCCAGTACGCCCGTACCAGGGCATACAGCCTGCAACCCACCACTGGTGTGTGTCTCCTGGCACACAGGTGGCAAAGTTATCTCTTGAAAGAGGGAGAGAGAGAGGGAGAGAGAGAGAGACAGAGAGACAGACAGAGACAGAGAGACAGAAAGACAGAGAGAGAGAGGCATGGCCAAGGAATTTACGTTCAGTCTCTGGGCAGATGGACAGAAGTTAACCCATGCTCGGACTCTCCAAGCAGAGCACAGGAAAAGCTGATTACCTTCAGCCAAAGATAATCTTCCGTTTTATCTGCAACTTCACTGTGGTTATCGGCAATATCGCACCGGCCTATGATACAATATACAGCTCTTTTGTAAGGGTCAGTGTTGTTTCTCAGAGCCCGTCGGTAATGGAGGCGAAGTTTGTTCTCGGTGGCAGGAGAAAGCCTACAATTTTAAATAAGAGAAGCAGAAACTTGAGATGTCTTCAAAACAGTCAAATCTGGATTTTTTTTTTCTCAAAGTAGCTACCCAATACTTCAAAAGTGGTCATTTCCAAATGCATGTTGGAAGTGTAAAAACAAAGAAGGGACCATTTATTATCTATGGTGGACATGTGATAAAGCAAAATTGGATTATGATCTATCTTTCTATACAGAAAATCCTGAAAAAAATGGAGACAAAGTATGAAACCAGAACTTTTCCTCTGGGCCTTAATGGAAAAAGAACAGGAGAAAAAGACTGGAACTTTGTTACTACAGTAAAACTCTGGTCACGACCATAATTCATTCCATAATTTTGGTCGCAAACCGATTTGGTTGAGACATGAACCTAATTCTAGAAGTTTGGCGCTTACAAAAAAAATGATGTGGAAGCAGAAGTGGAACTTAGCAGGTTATGAACAGTTCTGGAGAACTAGTAGCGGAAATTTTGAGTAGTTCAGAGAACCGGTAAATACCACTTCTGGCCCCGCCCCCATCTATTCTCTGCCTCCCGAGTCCCAGCTGACCGGGAGGGAATGGGGACTTTGCAGTATCCTTCCCCTGCCACGCCAACCAAGCCACGTCCACCAAGCCATGCACACAAAGCTGGCAGTAAAAAAATTAGAATTCCACTAGTGCGTGGAAGGGGAAATCGGCCACACGCTAAAAAGTGAATGTTTTGGTCGGAACCCGATTTGGTCATGGTCAGAATCGTTCATGACCAGAGGTTCTATTATATATATGTTGACAACAGCAAGATAATTGTATGTGCAAAAATGGAAGGACATGTTGATTTCTTCTCTACAAGAATGGTTGCAGAAACTGATGGAAGTCAGCTGAAATGGCAAACTGGACTACTTTGCTTAAAGAAAAGAACATAAGTAGTTTTGTTTCCACATGGAAACCGCTTCTGAACTTCTTGCTTGATGTCGAAAAGAATGAAACTTTGACTCTGGGTTTTGTAGATTAGGCTGATAGATTTTTGTAGGAATGACTGGTTTATACTATTATGGTAAAACAAAAAGTTGTGATTGTTCTTAATGCCGTATTCTACCCTGTTTCCCCGAAAATAAGACTTCCCTAGATAATAAGCCCAATCGGGCTTTTGAGCGCAGGCGCTAAAATAAACCCTCCCTCCAAAATAACCCCTCTGAACATATTGCAACACAACAGCAGCCATGAGGTGATCACACTCACCGCCTCCTGCACCTCAAAAATAATAAGGCCTCCCCAAAAATAAGGTCAAGTACTTTGTGGGGGGGGGGGTGTCAAAAGAAAGTAAGACCTTGTCTTATTTTCAGGGAAACACGGTACTGTAGCAGAGTCATAAGTCAATGCTTCTTTTTCTTTCTTTTTTTCCAGTGATTTTTTTCAGAGTGATGCCATCACTCTGCTAAACAACTAATTCCCACAACATTGTAAATTAATTTACTAACTGTATTATTATTATTCTCTTCCTTCCTATTACCCATCTCTTCCCACTTATGACTATAACCATATTGCTTGTATCTTTTAATTTATATTGTTTTTATTTGTCTCCTAATACAATTTGATTGCTTATTAGTAACCTTGACCTATCACTAAGTGTTGCATTTTTTTCTTCTTGATGAATATTTCTTATTCTTCTTATGTACACTGAGAGCCTATGCACTAAAGACCAATTCCTTGTGTGTCCAGTCACACTTCGCCAATAAAGAATTATATTGTTTCTTTTTCTTTCCTTACCCTCCCTCACTTTCCCTTGCCCACTCCCCATCCCTGCCCTTTTATTTGCTTTTGAATTTTGTATTTTATAACACTTTATAACCTAATAAAAAAGTGATATATATATAAAAAAGTAGCCTTTCTGAGCCAAGCAGCTTTCCTGTGACACAAATACCGTTTTTGATGCCTTTTTGCTGACTGAATACTGCCGCTCATTTATTTTATATTGCAGAAACAGTATTCACAGTATTTTATATTGCAGAAACTGACCTAATAATATAACTTCAGTAATCCAAATTCAGAGTTGTCACATGGATCGAAAGAACAGTTCCAAAGAACCTCCCACCAACCTAATGTAGCTTCACACTCAGAAAGAGTGCTCAATTTTAAAAATAGATATGTTCCATTTGAAGGGGGGAAAATAAAAATGCATTTTTTTTCCCAAATGGCTGCACCTTCTGTGAATCCCAACTGCTTCAGAATCATTCATTGAAGACAGTGTTTTCTCAACCATGGACACTTGACGATGTCTGGACTTCGACTTCCAGAATTCCCCAGCTAGGGAATTCTGGGAGCTGAAGTCCACACCAGAGGTGGTATTCTAACGGTTCAGACCGGAATTTCGGCTCCGCCCACCCACACCCGGCTTTATGGCATCCCATTTAGGCCCTTTTTTTTCGCCAAAAGCGCATGCAAGGACGGATCACATGCTAGCATGCCCACACGCTGACAATTGCAACTGGTAGGGAAGGGAAGTGTATACCACCCCTGGTCCACATATCTTTAAGTGGCGATGGTTGAGAAACACTGGTTTAACATACCAAGCATCTTCTGCACGACTTGAAAACTTGAAGCTGTTGATTTTGGAAGGCGAGCAGAAAGTTCCAACCAGAATTAGGATTTTCAGTGGAATTAGCTCTTCTGCTTCCCCTCACCCCCTGGCATTCATACTTTCTCCCGGTCTCTTCTGGCATTACCCCAGTACCTTTTGTCTTTGCTGTGCATGTACTCCTGGAACCAAGTTTTGAAATCTCCCAGCTGGTGCTGACCTAAGTTGATCACTTGCATGGCTGCCATTAAATCCCCGCAGCGCATGCAATAGTAAATGATGGCCCAGACAGGATGGCCTTCCACTTCCCCGTCCTAAAATGATACAAGCAGAAAAAAAATGTCCAGAGATTTGACTTGTTACAGAGAGTCCTCGACTTACGACTACAATTGAGCCCAATATTTCGGTTGCAAAGAGAGGCAGCTGTTAAATGAGCTGTGCTCCAGTTTACAACCTTTCTTGCTTCAGTTGTTGTTGTTGAGTGAATCTGGCTTCCCCATTGACATTGCTTGTCAGAAGGTCACAAAAGGAGATCAGGTGACCCAGGGACCCTACAACCATCATAAATATGAGATAGTTGCCAAGTGGCTGAATTTTGATCATGTGACCCTGGGGATGCGGCAATGGTTGTAAGGGTGGAAACAGTCATGTCACTTTTTTCAGTGTTGTTGGTCACTGTTCTGACCAAGAGCATGAAGCAACTCCTGACCAAAACCCTTTTATTAATTGACTGTGAATTCTGCTCATTCACATCCAGCAAAGTCTTTCAAGGGAGGATTTACAGTCACAGACCTTATCTGGCTTGGAGAGCTGACAGGCCAATATCTGCAAAACTTGGCAAGGAGTCTCGGAGAGTCACGAACCAATGAAGCAAACTAATTGTCTCCTGCAAACTCAACTCCCCTTTTGCTCCTCTTTTATTTTCTCTGGGAGGGGCCGTTCATTGTTCACCTATGGCCTTACTCCCAAGTTGATCCTTGTTCTTTAGCTGTTCCCTTTGTTTGGCAACTCTGCGCATGCACACACTGGGATCAAGATCCAGCTGTTCGTCTGCCTCACTGATGTCTGACTCTGAAGGCAGCTGATAACTGGCATACAGCTCTGCCCCCCTCTCTGCCTCTGACACAGAGCCCTCATATGAGCCTTCCCCAGACTCCAGGACTGGCCCATGTTCTCCCCACCCCACCCCACCCGCAAACCTCCTTGCTGTCCGAATCTGCTGTCAGCTCCGCAGACCACTGGCAGGCCACAACAGTCACTAATTGAATTGTTGTAAGTCAAGGGCTGCTATATTGTAGCAAAGACCTTGAAAGTAGAAGATAGGAAACACATGTTTAAAATCTAAGTGGTACGTACAATTGACCGAAGATCCCTAGGTCTTGCATACCGTTAAAAAAATACTCTTTGTGATATTCAAATATTGTCTGCCTCTTGGAAAAGGTGCTTTATTCTATGTGTACATATTTTTAGACATTATATCTGCATATTCATGAATGCAAATTTCATCTATCGGGAGCCTCCAAAGATGCAGGGAGCCATTTTAGCAACACTTCCATTGACACGGGATGTCTTTGTGCTCCACACAGATGGGGAATTCTTCAAACTGGTATAGAAGAGGATACGGTCAGAAGGGAATTGGTGAACGCTGTTTCTCCCTTCTTTCATCTGTGGAAAGCTTAGCTACTGAATGTGTCTTTCTGTGAATGAAAAGGCAACCCCAGAGACTGTCCATTATCTTTTCCTGATGCAGTTTTTTCTGACTCCTCACGCTGAGAAGCATCTTCAGAAATTCTATCGCAGAAATCTCTATTCAGTGCGGCATCTTCCCTAAATGTGTTTGCATGCTGCCCACGAAGAAAAAAACCACCACTTTGCCAAGCAACTTACAGAATGCCGGCGTTAAACTGGTCTCATTTTTAGAAATGTTCTCCCAAATACTCAACCTGGTTCCTTGCAGTTTCTGCTCACTTATTCATATTTATTTTCTCTGAACGTCCCAAGGGGGGGAGGGGGGAAACAAATCCTGCTAGCTTTTCAGGATAACATTTATTATGTATGGGACCTATCAAATGCTCATTTTTTTCTCCCTTGTCGGGTTAAATATACAAGGCTGTTTTTTCTCAGCAATGCTCTTTTTAAAATGTGGCCCCCAGAAGTGAAAATGCTATTTCACAAGCAGCTTGAGGTGATCAAGACTTAGGTACTTCTATAATTTTTTAATATATTTTTAAATATTTATTATAGTTGTAGTTGTTATTATTATTATCATCATCATTATTATCATTATTATTTATTTATTAAACATGAAACTCAGTCAACTGAACACTTAAAAATGTGTCATAAATACCATTGACTGGTGCTAAAGGTTGATACGGGATGCTGCCAGTTGTTGTTATTGTTGTTGCTGTTATTATTGTTATTATTATTATTATTTTCATTATATGTAAAGGTAAAGGTTCCCCTCGCACATATGTGCTACTCGTTCCCGACTCTAGGGGGCGGTGCTCATCTCCATTTCAAAGCCGAAGAGCCAACACTGTCCAAAGACATCTCCATGGTCATGTGGCCGGCATGACTCAATGTCGAAGATGCACAAAACGCTATTACTTTCCCACCAAAGGTGATCCCTATTTTTCTACTTGCATTTTTATGTGGTTTCGAACTATAAATATATATATATATTTATATTATTTAAATTTATATTTATATTATTTATATTTATATTTATATTTATATTTATATTTATATTT